GGACTTCTAATCCAGAGGTCGTGGGTTCGAATCCCACCGGGGATGTTACAACTTTTTGAAATAATTCCTATTTTCAAACTTTTATTATTCTATTTGAGAAAAAGGGATAGATGGAAATGGAAAGTGTAGTCGTCCCCGTAGCGCAGTGGATAGCGCGCTGGACTTCTAATCCAGAGGCCGTGGGTTCGAATCCCACCGGGGATGTTACAACTTTTTGAAATAATTCCTATTTTCAAACTTTTATTATTCTATTTGAGAAAAAGGGATAGATGGAAATGGAAAGTGTAGACGTCCCCGTAGCGCAGTGGATAGCGCGCTGGACTTCTAATCCAGAGGCCGTGGGTTCGAATCCCACCGGGGATGTTACAACTTTTTGAAATAATTCCTATTTTCAAACTTTTATTATTCTATTTGAGAAAAAGGGATAGATGGAAATGGAAAGTGTAGACGTCCCCGTAGCGCAGTGGATAGCGCGCTGGACAATTGAGAGTGTAGTTGCCGTAGCTTATCAGAAAAAAATACTTTGCTTATATTCTGTAAGATGCCAGTATTTGGAAACATTCCCAGTAAATATCACAATCATTGGAAAAATAACAAGTAACTAATTAATTTATATATGAAATATATGTAAAACCTTTGAACTACATTTCTATTTACAGATCTATTTAATTGAGCAACTGTACGGAAAAACATGATGTTATTTCATTTATTGTCCTTGAAATTCCAGATTATTCTTTCAGTTTGAAATTAAAAAGGCGATTTAGACTGCGACTTCTAGAGACGCTAAACATTTTGTTGACCTTGCAAAAAAGAAAGAACCAAACAAAAAAACCACAAAAACAACAAACATGTGTTTTTTTTTTGTTATAATATAAATTAAATTAATCATCTGCAAAATTGTTATATAAAAGTTGAGGATAATGTATATGGAGGTAATTTTCTCAGTCTATGGAATAATGTATGTTTTAAGCTTAAGAAAGATATATTCGGTTCCGGTTACAAAACATATAAATAAAAACCGGACTCTGTGCTTTTTTTGTTTATACAAATTTAAGATTTAAGGATGTAATTCAACGAAATTATAACTAAATATACAAACTGTGAATTGATGAATTTGAAACTTGAAAATTAAATATCCGCTTTGATATAACTTTGAAGTTATAAACGCTACCGATACCTAATTGTATAGTTTAACTTTGAACGTGTCCACTGTCCACTAACAAACTCATCATGGTCGGCATTTACATGACGAGACCCTTTCTTTATTTCTGGCACCTTTTATTTCTCTAAAGTAACTGGCAAAATTTCTAAATAAATCATATAAATCAGTGTCTTATGGACATATTCTCTTTACAAAAATCGTCTGCGGAAAATATAAACTTACACCGCATTTAGAGTATGATATCAAAATTCAAGTTTCGAACACAAATTCACTATTCGATAGTGTATAGCCTTTGACGTAATACTTACTCGTAACCTACCCGAGGCTATAATAATTTGCCTTTGCCAGATCGAGACCAGCAATGTACATCCAGGCAGTCTGACCAAGTCCTATATTGTTGGTAGCGCTTTGGGGTCAAACATACTTTTTGGGTTGGACCCTAAGGTGCAAAGAACTGCACAAAGCATTTGGGGTCAAAATCAAAATATCGACTCAAAAGTGTGTTAATATGCTACATATCAACGCACTTTAGGTTACAGAGGAGTTCTGAAGGTGTCAACTGAGTTCAGCTTACATACTGAGTATCGACTTATTTTCGATCTGCAACCTAGAAATATTTTACGTTCAAGATGACGGTGGGTACTTAGATACATCACTTTGGGGTCGGATAACAAAGTGCATTTAACCCAAAAGTGCGGAGTAACATAGCACATTTTTGTATTTTTGTATTATTGATATTGAAATCCGTTAAACGTCAAATGTTTCAAAATGAAAACATGGAATTTCCGTTACACAAATTTAACAGGTTAACGGTAAAGCCGAAAATGATGCATTTGAAGATGCAGACGACTTTTCTATACATATCTGAACAACGTTAAAATCATTATTTAGTCTTGCCAGTTGCTGAGTGATTACAAACCAGTAGCTGTCATGTATACTACAACAGAAAATGTTTGTAAATGCCGGCTGTAGATGACTTTTATACGCATTTCTTTCGGATGAGAATGTAACTTTACGTTGTTAGATCTTACGTTAGTTATTGTAATGTTTCGTGGAATCTAGACACATTTTTATACAAAGTTACCCATTTTTGATTAAAATTTTGTTCTTCTGCTTTTCACTTCCAATAATATAAATAAAATGGTCAGGAAAAAGATGTTTCGTCGGTCCCGCGTTACTACTGCTACTACAGAAACAAAGCGCACTTAATGAAAGGGAAAGCGTGTCTGAGAGTAAAATGGCCCAGTAAGTCTGGTAAACTGGACGTGAAGAGTTGCTTGTTTCATTCCCCGAACTACTTCTTATACTTATATATATCGAATGATATTGTAAAAACCGAGGCCCCTGTGATGTAAAGTTGATTTTCCAAGAAAGTGTTATTTCTATTTCCATTGCACTATCATACAAAAAATAAAATTGCAAACAGTCTTCTAGAGGGCTTTGCCCATGTGGGTTCCGGATGGCGGCGTATACAAGCATATAACATACTTAATAATAACGGGATTTCGACGGTATGTGAGCGGTTCTTTTATGGATACGACAGGTATCGGATTCGGTCACATATAGAGTCAAAATCAGTACAAATGGTTTAGAATTGGTTAGTTCTAGTAACAATTAAAGTACAAACTGATCTTTATTCTTTATCAATCAACATTAATACAGTTAATAAGAACAAATGATTAGGATGTTATAGCTGACGAAATATCAAGACAGATTAAAAAGAAAAGACCGTTGCCTATGCTACTTTTATAACTCCACAAGCTTGTCTAAAATGTATGCCAAGCGGTTCATCAAAGGTTCAAAACATAATGAACATGAGTTACTGCATGAAAAAGAAATCTGGTACATTTTAGTTATCGTTTTTTCTTGTCTGTATTAACAAGATAATCGTTTTTGTTCCGTCTTAGTTGGAAAAGTTCCCAGTAAGTGACATAACGTTTCAACATGAAAATTAAAAGATTGTTTAGTTAGCAACTTAGCAGAAGAACAGTAACCCATGGCAGAACAGGTAGTCATAAGTTTAAATGTGAAGGTCACGATACATTAGTCAAACATAAGCAACATACATAATGTAAATTTTACGTGTATTATATACATACATGTACCCAGTAAATGCCAGATATAAAATAAGTTCTGTTTGTTATACATGTATAAAGGTCGTGAACAAAATAAATTTAAAACATGTAAAAGACATCTACGATATCTGTAACATTAAAAGCAATTTTAAAATCCAGAAGCACCTTTAGCAATTTTAAAAACAGCCAAGTCTCTCTCAGGTGTTCAAATTTCCTTAATCCGTCAGGAATGATGTAATTATACCGAATTTATTACTTATTTTACTTCTATATAAATAAGTCGTCAACGACAATATGAAGTAATAACAGTACATGTAGTTAGAGCTACACATGCCATATAAGGAACTAATACTATAAATTGCAATGATTACAGCAGAAGTTTTGTTTTGTTATGTGAATAAGAAGTAAAAGTGGCTACAGTATAATAATAATTCTAAAGTTATTCAGAAATATATGTTTAACATTTATAACATCAATATTTCTCATCCTAACATTAAAAGCAGTAATAATAGTAATTATATATGAAAAACACTATCAAAAGCAAGTGTTTTAGTTGTAACATAAGAAAAAGCAGATTCAGCGTCAATAAATAATAATACAAAAACAGTTGTTATATATTGTTTTACAGCGATTCAAATTAACAACAGTTGTTAAATGGAAACAGTAACTGTTGCAGTATCAATAAAACAACCCCCAGTTTGTAAAAGTAGGTAAAAGTTACACTTGCTCTTGTTGAAACGTGATTGCGTATATCATACTATGATATACATACAACAACAAAAAAGCAACATAGATAACGGTATTATTAGTTATATATTAATGAGTTATCAGAATTTGTAAAAACAGTTATATATTATGATAAAACACTTTTAATTCATTTATTCGTTTCTACAGCTACACAAAATTATAGAGATAAGTATTTATATCTGTTACAATAATTATAGTTATGACTTAGTATCTGCATTTAAGATAGCTGTGATTATAGAATATATCTGTTACAATAGAAATAGATATAACTTATCTATATCAATAGTAGCAGCATGTACAATAGCTGTAATTACAGAATATAGAATATATGTCAATTTTAATAGCATTAAAGTTATAATTAACAAATTAAACTGAATCATGAAAGATTTAACATACAATGCAAATAACAACTGCGTTTATCGCAACAGAAATATGTTGAAGAATCTATTGTAGCGGTTACAACAGATAAAGTTAAAGAAAAGCAGACAGAACGAAAACAAAGATGTAGATGAAACAGAACAGAAAAATGATAATTGACGTAAAGGAGCCGGACACTAATTGTCTTTTCCATATCTTATGCACGATGCGAACAGATCGCCAAGTGAGTCATAACATATAAACATATATCTAACAAGACACAAACCGGAAATGAAAAAGAATATACAGTAAATGTAGTGTACTATTGGCATTAGTTTTCGGGTCAATGAATAAGAATAAAATAGAAAAAAAAATGAAAAATTTGAATATGGTAGTACCCTGTGAATAACCTCGTCAGTTACCTGGAAGCTGGATATCAGTTTCACATACATGATGTATGGTATTGTTGTTAACTGTAGCATCTACTATGACTAAATGCTTTTTAAATAGAAACATACTTTATTTGCGAGTTTAATATAGAAGGTTTAGAAATTCGGCTCTTTAGTTAAATAGAATAAATCACTGTTTAACATATTTGCATTAAATCATGCATTCGTAATAGAAACTAGATTTTAAAACGAAAACGAAACAAACCTTACCTTTGTTGGAACTAGGAGCTCCAGCTTTGCAATTTATATTTCATCAACCCAATAAGTTAAAATCCAAATTAATGACCACACAGTCCGTCCCCTAATCTAGCATTAAATCCCCTATTTAACCGGCTGGGAGCGCACAGTTGCACGATGTTATCTGTGCGGTAAATCCATTAAAAAGCCGTGCCAAAAATCACGCGTTTCTGTTTCTGGTAGCGTGTAAAACCAGTCAATTGGTTTTGCTGTATTTACAAAGTTAGGCAGCAGCGTATCTTGCAGTAGTTTTCTTTGATAAATATTGTTAGCCAGGTCATGTGGCCAAGTATTAACGGTGCAACTTGTAAGCTTATAAATGTAATATATAACACAGGACGGTTTTTACATGGACATATAGCTTGTCAAAAGCAGGAAAAGGAAGACTTCATATATCTACTCACTTGCTTTATTTTATTAAAAGTTAAGATTTATCTATTTAATCATAGAAGTCGTGTATAAAGATATGAATTACGACGTTACAAACGCGCAACGTCATTGAAATTCTCATGTACACCATACCTAGAGGCTCGGGTTATATTTCCAAACAACCGTTTATATAGGGACATATAACCCGTAAAATCTTCTAACTAATAGTATAGACAATTTGTTACGAGCCGCTACGTATATAATTTCTCTATAGAAAAAAAACTTCAATTCCAATAAATTTACATTACTGCAATCGTTTTAATTAATAAAAATATAAATGGTTGAAAATATACTTCAATGTAAGAAAAACTTTATTCCACTAAAATGCATGAAATCATTTAAAATGTACACGCTCATCCAAAAAATAAATAGACAGAAACATCCAAAATGTAGAATCCTGGAAATAATAGACAAATGTGAATTAATCTAAATGGATTTTAATTTTGCTGGATACGCGTTACACGCATATTTTCACAAATGAGGTAATTATTTGAATAATTACGTAGCGCACACACCCGCATGTATGTTTTAAGTCTGTATTAGTCTTGTACTGACTGATCTTGTTTGCTATGTTCTGAATCTCCTGTACCTGGTCAAAAGATGAAGCAGACAAAACAACAACAACAACAACAACAACAATCTGATAAACAAAGATATGTTCATAAAATACAAGGACCGGTTCTTATATATTAGCAGTGTATAATTATGTGGATACGAATTCAGCTTATCATAATTAATACTCATTTTACATGCAAGATTCTTATGAAAAAAGGTTCGAACCCGAAAACATGATATAAATAATCGACTAACACACATTTCGCAGAATGTTATCCTAAAAAGATTTCCCAGGATTTTCACCTTTTCACCGTTTCATGGACTTGCCATCTACGCACCTGCGTAGTGAGCTACTTCCCTACATCTAGGTAAACTCTACCTCTGAATTTCATATGCATTAAACAAGATCTATAATGCACTAAAGTTGCTTTCTAATAGCTATAAACTTTCAAGAAAAATAAACTGTGTATATTAGATTGTGTTTGAACAGCGCGTGTGTTTATGAGTGTAATGTAATTAATACAATATGTACATTAAAACAGGCACTATATTGTACGAGAATTATGGACGGATAATTAATGGATTCATTTTTTCGGGAATAGTTTTTTCCTTCCTATTTACTACAAGAACATGAAGCTGTGTTGTTTTTTTTCTACATTGATACTCAACAGAAGAAAAGTGTTCTGTTTAACCTTGGATATAAAAACCTGTACAGCTGATTGTATTGTTTTGTAATTAGCGAACTTGCATAATGACTAGTGTGTTCTAAATATTATAATAATTAACCACGGTATGATAGTTTGCATGGGAAGATTTTGTGAATTCTTATAATTATAAACATTTAGTACAATGAATTCACTCAATTATGCATTATGAATCCTTACCATGCTAAATATCTTAAATGGACTTTCCAGACAAAACCACCATTTAATGGAAATATACCGAAATATGTACTGACCAGTGCAAACCATGATAAAACGGCACAATAGTGCCGGATGATCTTTGTCTACATTGGTCGCAATGGGCTGAATCAGATGCCACCAGTAGGCTATGGATAAAACTTATTCCCACTGGAAGTTACTAAATTCTGCGCATTCAATTTATTTCGGCCAATATTCGACGGTGCGTTTATTTTACAAAAACTGAATGAGTGTAGGTTCTATATTGAATTTATTGAATAAGTTAGAAAATAATGTTATGCGAAAAACTTCAATGAATTTAGTAAATAAGAAATTTTCTGTTTATTTGACGGGCGGTTAATATTGAAACGCTACCATTTAGCGTGACGTTGTGCCACTATGACGTCAGATATATTTACGCGACATAGCCTTACAGTTTTTATTTGTTTGGGTCGTCAGACCAAACAAATAATGGTAGCGAAATTTCAGAGTCTAATGCTGTTAATTGCAAATGCCGAAAGTAGTCCACTTTTTTGTAGCGGTTACTTCCCTTTATATGTACACTAACGCCGAAAAATTCAGGGGAGATCACTGCGTAAAGATTGTCAAAGACAGGCACATCTATATTTAAAAAAAATAATTCCCGAATGGTCGAATATTTCTAATATTGTTTTATTGTATTTTCTGATCGAAAATAAGTAAATACAAAGCGGACATTCAATCTCTGACACAGAAGTTTACGACAAACCTAACAACAAGTAGTTCTCAAAACAGCTTTAAACTAGCGATTTAAAAGAAAGAAATATTTTATATTTTGTAACAAGTATCCAACAAATTACAACGCATTCAAAGTTTAAAAATAGCGTTGGCTTATAAAATTGTCAATAAATGCACAATCACAAATTACGCGGATGAATATGATTTTATCAATGAAAATGCTATTTTTAGCGATGTCGATTACCGAATACTACACAAACCGAGTAGTGGAATATATAGATTCTACATGTCGGACTGTTTGGGCGAGAAGATTTTCGCTAAATTATTTACTTCAATTTTAAACAACAGGTTTATCCTGAACAAAATATCTCGAAATTAATAAGGATTACAAACCCGAAATGCAATGGAAGTTCTAAATTTAGAATGACTCGATGTTATTCAGACTTTGTTTGTATAACTTCTCCGTGGTGCAGGGGTAACGCGCTCGCTTGGTGAGTGAGAGGTCTGGAGTTCAAATCCCAGTGGAGGAAACTTTTTTTTTTAAATTCTTTTTTAAGTGTCTTTGATAAGGAAGTAGCCATGATATGCAAGGATAAAGTGTGGCTGTCGTAAAAAATGAAAATAAATGATTTTTTGATGCAACTCTAGTTATGTAGAATTCCGTATGTATCAAACTCTGGTGCCTTGCAAAATGAATTATAATACATAACAATAAACTTATACAGGAAAATACATACAGATATACAGTACGATTTAGATTGCAAAGATCAGAAAATACCACAGAACTTGCAGCCCTTTAATTCTTTATAAATATACATGCTTATAGTAAGCTCCAGGATTATTTACATCTGTGCTAAACAATAGTTAGTCGTTACAAGCCCTAATTTAGATCGAATAATATGGTTTTCTTCAGGCCGTTCACATATAAATTCACCGTGGCTGAAGGGTTTTCGCGCTCGCTTAGGAAGCGAGAGGTCTGGAGTTCAAATCCCAGTAAAGGCAACTCATTTTTTTTCAAATTGTTTAAGTCAAATAAACATTGGATTGAATATCAGTGTTGCAATCAGTCTTATAGCCAATTTACTACAATTAAAACGCTGGAAAGCATTGGTGGCACTATACATATAATCTCACAACCTGTACCTTTCTTACATTCTGAGACCCAAACAAATTCAGCGCCTTCTGTGCTTTGATTTATTATAGTAGACAGTAGACATTTTGTTTTGTTCCAATAGGCTTTAAAGCCGATGAGGACATAAAACATGCACAATAACGAACAGTTCATATAAACATAATAACAAAAATCAAGAAAAAGTTTGGAGAAGATCAATTGTGATTGATAAAGTAATACCAGCCGAAAAGTTCTTAAGTAATTACATAATGAACATTTTTAAATCAAAATTGAGCTTTAAACCACTAACATATAGGTATCTTGTATATACAAATACATACACACATATACATGCACATATATAAAAAATCATACATTACATGAACCATTAATGCAAAATTGTTGTATATTAATCGATTTTTAATACATAATCGCCATATGTTTATACACATAAAAAATGAAGGTCCATTCGCATCAGTTGCGGATTTCCTAATTGTAAATGAAGGAAACGTCATAATTTGATCAAAACAATTACATGCAAGAATTTGCCTATCATATTCTGGCGTTTTTTTCCACAAATGCCCCGACAAAAACAATAATTAAAAAAATTAAATAAAATTGCAGGTATCGGCAATAATAGAGTTACATTGGAATTTGCTTATTATTTTCGAGTGTTAAATATAAAGTTTTAAATCGGATTTGGATTTTGATGTTTTTAACCATGTCGGAAAACCCGTCTGAAACCTTTAGTGCAAGACCGCTCATGCGCTTAGATGACATCATTATCATTATCTTTATGAAAGAACGGTTTTAAAAATTATTACGCTACTCTTAAACTAGTGTTTACAAAGTATATGTTAGTGTTCATCCGTGTTGTTCTACAGAAATTAGAAACTTCGACGGGAGCGATAGCGACCGGAGAATATTTCTTTTTTCTGTAGAACAGCTACGATGAATACAAACATACTTAGTGTCAAGCTTTAATTTGCCTACATTAATATTAACTTTATTTTCGTCACTATACCTGTCCATTTTGTACAAACGCGGTTCTATGAAACACTATTAAAAGG